AACCATTATTGTATCTGTCTCTCTGTTTCACCAGATACCAATTTCTCCTAGTGCTCAGGTTTGCACAAAAATGACATAGAAGCATTAGAAAATAACATATTTTAGGATGTGGGAGTTGCACAACTTATAATATGCTGCTTCTCTACCTTTGTGTCACTCTCGCCAGCCATCTCAACAAATTTGTATGTGGAAAATGTACCAGTCAGATCAGATTTTTTTTTTGGCTTGAGTTCTTGTATTGAATCCAAAATGTATTGATCTTAAGCCACAACAAGGCTTTTTCTTCTTGTACTTTTGTGGTTGACTTTACTTTTCTTTGAATGACCCTTACGGCTCATTACCTTGAGCTTGCTCCACCTTTGTAGTTCATTAGCTCCAGTCTTATTGATTCCACGGAATTTCGTGTCAGAAATTAATCTAGGTAGTGATTATGTTAGGGCAAATATAATGAATGTGTTTATTTGGAGGGTGTTCAAAAAAAGACCTGTACCGGTGAGCATGAGTGTGTCTGTGTGGGACAAAATGAAACAAAGGACAACACCATGATAGATGAATGAGTTTCCGGGGACTCTTAGTCCTTGATAAGTGTGTGTGAGTCACGGTCCTGGAACAAAGTAGAGTCAAAAAAAAGTTTTGAGTCGCTCCCGAGCATGTTGTCTATTCCTCCTGCCCGTACGGGACGGTCCGACCATGTCTCCAAAATTCACTGTGTCAGGGAACAAATTGGAAATGCCAATTTCACTTTGCACTGCTCCACGTCTTATCTCCCTCTTCCCACCACCAACCACTTAGCTCATGTGTAAATGAATTAGGTCCTCTTATACGTCGACCAGTGTCTGATTGCTGTCTGCTTTCTCCTCAGTCCTCCATGCTTTCTTGTTTCCCTTCTTCTTTCCCCTTTACTTTCCCCCTCATCACCTGTCCTTGTTATTTCCTGCTCCCTCCCTTATCCCCTCACCTACTCTTCTCTTTTCCCAATTCAATCATGCCCATTCAACTGTAACTCATTTGTTATTTCTCTGTGTGCATTTATGAAATATTTGCACTCAGGAAGAATATAGATTTATGTGTGTGTTTATTCTCAGGCTGTGTATCTTCACTGCCTCCACTGACCGGGCAGCTGTAAATCACTATGTAAATGAAACAATATCGCATGCAATTCTCCAGGTTGCATAAATAAATGAAAAAATCTATTTATGTTATAACCAGGCCTGCCTGTCTTTGTTTATCTGTGCTTCTCAGTATGACTACGAGGGCAGTGACATCAGTGACCTACCAGTCGACCTTTCTGTGGTGTGGAATGGAAACTTCATCATCGACAACCCCTTCAACATCCAAGGTACACTTTTATTTTACAGCGCCGGAAAAAATACAACATGGTGCTACCTGTTTATCCGTCGCCAATGATTTTCTGTAAAACACCAACAGTTTTCCACGTCAAAAGAAAACTGTAATTCTGGCATTGGCAAGTATCACAGGGGAAGGTTAAATTACAGTATTTGTTTAAAAATAAAAGTAAATACTAAACTTATCTTGGGGAGAAAGGAAAGGGGGCAGAGGGAGTGATGGACAGATACAAATGATAAGCAGTGATCTAAGAGTGAAATTAATGGGGATGGATGTTAGAGAGGGAGATAAACAAATGTAGAAAGGGATCATGAAAAGACGGGTGTTTGACAGGATGATAAATGCACCATGTAATGGCAGAGGGGGGAGATGAGAGCGAAGGAAATTGACAAAGAAAAACAGAAAGCGACATGCAGGGATGGCATTTATTATTTTTAATCGCCATTTGTGCATGAAGTGGAAAACAATTACCAATCCCAAATTCTTTATCAAGTGTAATATACTGGGCAGGGGAGGCTAATGATTTCAGACGTCCCATTACACAAGATAATACGAGTGTAGCGCGCAAGTGTATCTTCAGAATAGCTTTCCTTGCTCTATCCACTGCACTTGTTCTGCACCAGGAATGTAAAATTAATAATGTTTTTATTATTGGTAATAGTAGTATTCAAAGAAAGATGAGCTCTAAGATTATCTGTTTAATTCATATTTTAAATGAAAACAAGCCAACATAGCTTCAGGAATGATTGTCTTTTTTTTTTTTTCATTAAAAGAAACTAAATGTTATCTGTCTTATTATCTAATAATGAACTAAAGAGCTAAAGTTCGACAAATAATCTAAAGAAAGTCAAATAATAAACAAAAAATAGTTCAATCAGTGAATATAACTCAGCTAAGTGTTGAGTTAGCCATCGTCTCCATCAAGAAAAAAAAAAAGAACAAAGTGATAAACATAAAGGCCGTGTGTTTACAGTTATTAGTCAACAGCAAAAAAGGATAAAAATGTACCCAAAGTTAGCTGAAAGTAAACAAAGAAAAACTGGTGCTACACCAAAACATAATAACAAACCAGTTACCAGTTAATGCAGAAAATACTACTACTGTACTCACTACGAAGAAGAAGAGCAAAAACTTGAAGCTAGCAAAACGGTTAGCTCAGAGTTAACCCAGAAACAGGTAAAGGCTAAGAAGAAAGAAAAGTTTTCTTTGCGCAGTGGGAAAAAAGAAGCTTGGTACAAAAGAATGTTTCTGTCTGTGCCAGAGGGCCCTCGAAATATGATTTAAAAAAAAAAAAAAAAGATACTGGCTTCATAAAACCTGCACATCTGGCCCCGGGCTTCAGATCTGCCTGCTTTACACTATTCCCTTTCAATTTCAGTCCTATAAAGACACACATCCACATTTTCATCTCAAATTCTTTGTGTTGAATCTGACCTCATTTTGATAAATGACACAGGCACAGTTCATTGCTCTGAAATTAGTTGCCCATCGGTCATGACCTAATTTGTAGTGTTATTTCTCTTTAAAAATTTTAGCTCCTTTAAGCTTTTTCTCACGTGGTCCTCTGAAAGATTCTCTGTGGGAATCAAACCTCAAACCGTGTCCTGTGGAGTCGTGTTGATGCCACCGACAGATACATTATCCCATTTGGTACAATATGGAAAACGCTCCCATTTCTGTTTAATCCAAAGAGTGTCCATAATCAGTATTCACATTATCAGAAAGACTGAGCTGTGGTTGTAATGTATTCAGCTCTCTTTATCTGTTGTTTTAATGAGTCACACCAGGGTGCAGGAAATAATTTTAAATTAATGGGTTTAACACTTTTAGCCCTGAAAAAAAAAATCTGATTTAACATTTTATTACAACTTTTTTGTAGTCAGTGAGGTCAAATTGTCAGCTATCTCATAAGGTTTAGACACACAAAGTGAGGGGGGATAGAAAGATTAGAGCTAAACATTTCGAATGACTTCTTTTATTTAAATTGCCAAATGAACACATGAGTCACTATGATAAGGAGTGCATTTTACTATTGTTTTTTTTTAAAGAATCTAAATCTGCCATTACTGCCAATGACACCAGTTAATCTTGTCATTTAATTGTTTTGATTAAGTAACATTGTGCAAATAAGACAAAGTTAGCAGTGAGTCAGCGCAAGGTTGTACGTCCACACAGAAATACTAATTAACCAGACCTTAGAACTCTCTGTGAAATAATCAATATTGCCTCCAGGAAATGGCGAGAAAATCCTATGAAAAGAGCTGAAAAGAATGTTTGGTTGGTCCGAGTTATTTTTATTCCAATAGCAGGATACTGTGTACTACTTTAAACAACAACAGATGTAGTAAAAGTTACAGTAAACCACAGGAAAGTTGCTAAACCCTATCTGCAGTTTGTTCAGTTTGTTGTAGTACAGGTGAGTACTGGCTAGTACTCAGCCTTTATATGATATGATCTTTAATTTGAAGGCGTAACAGAGTGAAATTTGCTGCGCATCGAAGAACTGGTTTCATTCTACATTTGCGTTCACACTGCAAATAAGTTCCCCCTGCCTCCTCAACTAAAACCCACCTGTGGGACTCAGCTACTGATCACATGACAACGTGTATTTGTCAGTTTAGCCATGCAGACTCATAACTAATACTGAAGTAGATTTTTTTTAAATATTTAAATTACATTAATTAATGTTCCTTCTTTCATTCAGTTTGTTTTAATGTAGATTATTAATGACAACTTATAAAATATATACACACTTAATATTGTTTCTCTGTTTTATTTCAATACTAAATATAAATTATTTTAGAACCAGACTGACTACAACTTCATTGTCTTAAGATTTTTTTAACTCAACTCGTAATGCCATTATAAATGGTAAATATATTTACTATTTATATTTACTTTACATTCATGAACTGACATTTATTAATCACTTGTAAAATCATCTCATTCATGATTTTTATTAACTGACATTTATTAATCACTTGTAAAAGTTTAAAACAACAAACAATGCTCAATGTTGAGAAACTCCAAAAAACATTTTGCCCATTCTTTACCTTACCTCTGGTGTCAGGCTGTTAATGTTAATGAAATCATTCAGTTTGTTCAGATGAATCAGCATGGTGTAAACTCCACAGAGTTCCACAGAATTTCACTTTGGAATCATCCAGCATCCTGATTTTTATTTAGATTTTAAAAGATAAAAAAAAAAAATACTGTTTTATTGTGGAGTTAAATTACAGTGATATTTTGCTGTCTGTTCTTACTTCCAATATGGGAATATGTTTGTTTTCACAGCAAATGATCAATTCCCTGCTTGTGGTAGAAGAGGTCAACTGTAGTATTCCTCTAGGTCGCTTGTTCATTCAAATAGACAGTATCTGTTTGAATGTTATTCAGTTTTGAGGATTCCTCCTCTCATTCTACAGCAAGCCTTAGAGTGGTGTGGTGTCTCATGTGGCCGATTAACATTCATTTGTTTGCTATTATTTGTCATTTATGGGGCGTCTCTCTCTCTCTCTCTCTCTCTCTCGCTCCCACTCTCTCTCTTTCTCTCTCATTCAATAAAAGACAGTCAAAAACACATCACTCATCTCTCTAAAGCCACAGTTTATTAATTTTACAAAACTATGCCTGGCATTTCCTGCAAAACAACTGTTGAATTTCAATGATGATAAAATGGAGAAACATTGTCCTTCAGTGATTCCCTGTGGAATTACAACAAAATAGTTAAGATCCTTTTTTTAAAGACAGGGAATTAGGTGGATGCTCCTTTGATCTCCATTTTAACTCCTTTAATTATCATGCTAATTTTGGAACCTGCAGAATGTTTCTTCTGTGACATTTTCAGTCTCTGTATGAAAAGCCAATGGATACAAATACAATTTGAAAATTCCACATAAATATCACATTGAAAACCTTGTCTTTCTCTGTCTCTCGCAGCTCATTTGTACAAGTGCAGAGCTCTGCGGGACAGCTGCGGCATGTGTCTGAAGGCTGACCCCAGGTTTGAATGTGGCTGGTGCGTCCAGGACAGGAAGTGCTCTCTCAGACAGGAGTGCACCGGCGGAGGAAACTCCCACCTCCCACTGCAGCTGGCTGAAGGTGCAGGCTGGATGCATGCCACGTCTGGGAACAGCCGCTGCACACACCCCAAGATCATTAAGGTAGGTGTAAAAACGTGTATGTGTGTGTGTGTATCTGTGTGTCACAGGCACAAATACATGTAATTGGGGTTCCAAAAAAACACATTCATTAATCATTGAGGAGGTTGAAAGTCTTCATGAAAGGGCTTTGATTGGCTGAAATATTTAATAGGTTTGAATGTTTGTAGGTTTTCACGTAGTACATCTGCTGTGTGTCTATGTGAGAAACAACTGGACACAATGTATTACTGTGATATTGTGCAGTTGAAAAGTCTTGTCAGACAAATGCACCTATAAGCAGAAAAATGGCTGCGAACAAACCAAGTGTTAATGGGAACGGTTGTCTGGAAAATAGAGTGCTGAGTGGTGCAAATGCTTCTGCAATCTGGCACCTCATTGTTTGGTCTTCAAGTTAACAGTGTTAGCAGACCAAATTGCCTTGTAGGCAGATTTAAATAAAGTCACGTCCAATCACATTAAAATAAATATGGCTGTGATTTGTATCTAACTGGACTCTAAAAGGCCGTGGCTGCCATGAAATATCTCAGAAGGGATGGAAATCTGTGTGCCCTGGAGGACGTCTCAGGTCTCCATCACAGGGGAAATGAACGTGGCTCACTGTTTGGTCTGCTTCTTGAAATCTGAAGCATTTAGCTGTTTTTCTTTAGACTTTTCTTCAGACACAAACAAAGCACGTCCACTTCAGAGTCACTGACATGAGCTACGAACTAAAACCTACACTATACTAAAAACCAAGGTTACTCCAACACAAGTCATAATGATCTTTAAAGACATTTGTCAACAAGTCAAAGGTCATGGCTGGGCGATGTGGTGATGCAACATGGTTGCCTGTGTGCCAGCAACATTTTTCAATGAGTGAAATATCCTTTTATTATAGTCTGTCATCTGAGACACAAGCCATATTACAAATATAAACACTTAAATTTTCATTTTGACATAAATTCAAATAAATATTAACAAAGCCCCAATAAAAAAAACCTAAAAGACAGATAAATCAAGGAGTTAAATAAACATTTTATTTTAAAATCAAAGCACTCTACTGATCACACTCTTCTCAAACAACATAATATGGGAACTTTTCAACTTCCAACTGTTCAACTCAAGCTGTGGCCAATGTATTTAGCCTTTTTTGTATTTGTGGTGGTGAATTACATCCTTACAAAAGCAGACTTTTTACCTCTGTGAATACATTTGTTATTAGAAATCAAAGGCCCCAGGATCTGGAACACCGGTCTGTCTGCTGCACCCAGACTGAACTCTTTTAATCAAACTCGCTCCAACGTTACAGTTCAAAAATCACCTGTAAAATTAAAGCAGCACAGCTTCTTTCAGGCCCACATCATAATCTCGTCAACTTCTGAGGAGCGTAACTGTCGCCTGTGGAGATCGTGGACTCATAAACCTTGATAGAGCGTTGCGTCAGCTGCCTTTGTTGAAGCCCCTGTGGTCACAAAAGCCCTACGTGTCCTGAACCTGGAATGAACGCTGCTCTTTTTAATGTATTGCTATTACAACACACACACACACACACACACACACACACACACACATACACATACATGCTGGGACCTTGTGCCTGCCCTTGGCGCCGTAATTGTATTATTACTCACTGTTACATCAAGCTAGTACTTAGGAGACCGGGGCAGTGAAAGGTTTGTTTGGGTTTGATTTTTAGGATTCCAGCACTGCCACTTGTTGTGAGTCTCCGACTGAGCCATAAAACACAGCAGAGTACCTTAAATCATTCAATTTGAAAAGTTGGCTTTAGTTTGAGTCTTTCAAACTGGGGGGTTACAGTGTTTAAGATTTAGCACCATCTAGTGGTTAAGGTACCTGATGTGGTGGAATCTCTATTGCTTCTTCCTTCCGGGCCCTGCATCTAGAATAACATCTAATAGAAGTCAGTTTTCATTGTCCACTGTCATATAATGAAGAAACAGGCAATCCAATATGGCTGCCTCCATAGTAGAACTTACTTTTATGTAAGGATATACTCATAAAAGTAAAGAAATGTTGCATTATATGAATTATTATGTATACTGATGATACAAAAGGAATGTAAATAACCATGAAAATCAAACTTTTATCTAACTTATCAACTCGACTTTTCTTCGTCAATAATTCCCTGGCCTTCCTTCATTCTTTTCCAACACACAAAATCAGAAATGAAAGATATTTGAGGCAGAATATTACATCAAACTATCTCTGGAGCATCCAAAACTCATCTGTGTTTGGTTACCAGTCCATCAGTGGTATTGACCCTATTACTAGTTTTACAACAAGCACCATGTTCATGGCAATTATACTAATGAAATGTAGCCACCGTGTGGTCAGGCGTGCAGTTGGTCCACCGCACCAGTACGTTACCTCGACTAGATTCTGGGGCAGTGGTTTTTGGTTCAGTTTAAACTTCCTCTCTAATTCTCAGTTCAGACTAAATGGAAATTGTGAAAAAGTGCCTTCAGTGACTCGTTAGCAAAAATGAAGATATTTATTGGTAAGTTGTGAGTCATCCACAGGAGGCAATCCAGCAGCTGTTTTAAATCCTACATCTGTTTGCCTGTTAATGTAAAACAATTATGTATCTATTATCCTTCACCCTAAGGCGTGTTCGTTAGCGTTTTACTCTTGTATCATCTCACTTTCCACTTTCCAAAAAACCTTTCCAGCTTCAGGCTGTTTGTACTTTACATTCCGCAGAGACCGCCGGTTATTTGCTTGGATGTGGAAAGTGTTGTGTCAAATCAGTGTAACACGAGTCCAGGAGCTGCTCCAGGTCCCATTTCCACACTGTGTCAGCTGCTTGAATGCCCACAGGCTCAATAAGCATTAGTTATCTTGTTATGTGGTGCCACACTTTATACATTCAAGAGTTTCTCAGGCTCCCAGTGGAAATCCACTCCTAGATGTCAACAGAATATTATTACAGTTTACCAAAAACACAATCACCAGTCATTGGAAGTAGCTGCTGTGGCATCTTCTGACTCTGTCTTTTGTATCATAGCAATTGTTTTGTGAAATATATAGCTGTAAATGTTTTGTCTGCAGCCCTGCTTAATGCTGGTTGGTCTTTCAAAACCTTTTACCCCTCAGGACGTTTTCTCCTCAGATGTTTAGAAGTGTGTTTTTGGCCCTAACAGTTGTGGTCTTTGGTTTGTGTTTTGCAAGTATACGTCATAGTCATTCAAGCTTTTTCCAGGATAAAATAAATGTGTACAACAGATGAAAAAAGTGACATGTTCAATTAAAAAAAAAAAAGTTTAAATCTGGGCATTTACAGCTCAAAGTTGTCTATGTAACAACATTTAAGGAAAGTGAAAAGATTTAAAAGACACTAACTAAGCAGGAGGTCGATCGAGTGGACAAAGTCTTCAAAGGATGTAAGTTAGGAAAGGGGAAGTAATGTGTTGGATTTACTGCTAATGTGGCTCCTAATTCACCAGTGTTTGTAATCTGGTGACTGGTGAATGTATTCATTCTCTAAATGCTCTCATTTGGGGAATTCAAATATAAACCTGGTCTAAATAGACAGAGCAAGGCCCAGAAAACTGGTTTTAATTTCCAAAACCAGAACTCCAAATGAAACGTCCCCAACAACGTGTTCTTTGTGCTTTTCCACCTGTGGAGTATGAATGCAGGTTTGTCAGTCCACTCACTCTTAAACTTGCAGTTCAAACAGTCAACTTTATTTCTCGTGGTCACAGCCAGTGTTAAACACACGTTTTTCTCACTTTCAAAATGTCAAATCTGTTGTTTGGTTTCAGTGTCTAACCTTAATGCCAGTCACACAGAGCATCCGGATGGTTAACTTTGGGATCTCGCTCATTTCCCCCGGGGGTGGGAATCACCAGCCAGTATCCTCCCATTCTGCATCTGTTGTCCAGATCATACCCTAGAGCTCAACGGCTGCTCTTTCTGGTCAGCGTTTGTCTACTGCGGGAGTCACTAACTATATTTGTCAGAGGGCCAGGATTTTTCTGGACAGACAACTTGAATGTCTGAAATAACAATCACACTTTTGTCTGTCATTCAGTCAAAACACAACAAGTACATTTCTCCATGCTACCTGACAAAATGAGGTTATTTAATAATCACTTATTTTGTTTCAAACACTTTTTGGTAAACTCATATCGTGAACAAAAATTCCTATTCTATTATGAGTTGAGTGTATCATTACAACTCAATGTCAAGTTATTTTTAAATTGTGTTGGCCTCAACAATACTAATCAAATGTATCATTATTCATAACTAGTTATAACTAGAAATAAGACCAAGATCAGAATTGTTACCTTTTTATTTCGATTATTTTCTCTGAGCTTGCTAAGGTGCTGTGTCAGTTTGCCTCATCAGTTTGTTTTAAAGCAGAGAACAATATAGAATGAGCTTTCCATGCCTGACACCCTTGCTACCTAGGTGGCGCTCTTCATGAGCTAGAAGAGACAGCCTTCAGTTCTGCAGCAGGAAGCAGAACCGAGGGGTCTCCCTTTGTCTCCACTGACTATCACTGTACATCTCATCCATCTGCCTCCACAAATTGTTCATCCCCGAAACCCAAGTCCGTTCCGTTGAAACCCCCATCTGTCAGTGTCCATTGTTTGTTACTGTCTCCTCTGTAATAATCGCAGCACGTCTCCTGACTGTCAGTGGCTGAGGTTACCTCCTTCCACACTGAGCCGTGTGCTCAGCCAGGCACTGCAGAGGAGCAGTGGACAGATTACATATAATTACCTCTTGATGCTTGTTAGGGATTAGGTGTGTACGTGTGAGTGTGTGTGTGTCTGCGCGGCCGTAGCGTCTTGTGTATGCTTGTTTGTCATCACCAGCGTCCATCAGTCACCATATTTGTTTTGTCACAGCACACCTGTCTCGGTTATGCACCATAATCTGGCCAGATAAATCACATTATAGGTCAGCAATGTGACGGGACGTTCCAACCCACGGTCCTGCTGATGAAGCCAACTCGCTGTAATAAGTTTCAATTAAAGCGCCAACATGATGCTGGTCTCATTCTGTACGCCAGCCTGACGTGGAGGGTGATTTTTCTCCATTAAAACTTAAATGACCTGATTTGGTTGGTTTTGTACGGTGTGTCACAGTGAGTTTTCCTGTCTGCGCTCGTTCAGGGTTGTTCCTGTAGTGTCACGTTTGTTTCAGGCTCAGAAAATAAACACCACGGTGCAATCAGTGTCTCAGTCCAGGTGAAGAGGAGGTGGTCTATAAATCTGAAAAATAAAAAATAAAAAAGTTTGGATTGGTTTAAATGTTCTGCAGGTCTACATGTCAATGTGTTGGTAGGCAAGTGTCCTCCAGTGCCTCCTGCTGGCTTTAACAGGGGAGTGGTACTGGCAAAGAAAAAACAATTTTGGTGAATCAGTTAAACCTTTCCTCAAACAAGGCAAGATATTTAATACTAACTCTGACAAATATTTGACAAGTATGTATGTCCACAACCTACTAAATGGTTTGTTTTCCACTAAGTTTAGTAAAAATAGATAATAAGATCATGACATTATAAAAAGAGCGCCCCCCTTTGACTTAAGGTTGAGTCTTGGTTCACTACTTGGTGATAAAGTTTCCAAAAAACTTGTCCCACACTGCATATTTTTAAAGTAGAAAATACGCCTGACGCAATTCACAGGTAAAAAAGCTTCCTCATTCCTCATCTCCCTCATAAGATTTTTTGTGCAAAAATCTAAATTTGTCAAAGTAAATGAAATGCACCAGTTGGATTGTGGGTCTACATGTACTGTATGTGAATTTCCTAATAATGAAGAAGCCTCTGTTAGCAATGAGCAGAAAGTGTGTTTTCACACAGTGTCCAGGTGGTAACTGACCTGCCTGCAGTCCAGAACCGTCTCCTACAGAGTACGTCATCATGACTGAGTGGAAACAGACCATTATCTTTTTTAATAAACTCTTCCATTCTCGTGTTTTTCTGTTTACGTTTTAGTTGTTTCCTGAGACGGGGCCTCGCCAAGGAGGAACTCGGGTGACAATCCTGGGGGAGAACTTAGGTCTGCAGTTCAGAGACATCCAGATGGGGGTCAGGTTGGGCAAAGTGCCCTGCATTCCAATGGAGGAGGAATACGTGAGTGCGGAACGGTGAGTTACACAACAGGAAGAGGGGAGAAGAAGGAAGAGGGGCATGTGCACACTGTGTGTGTGTTTGCTCACGCTGCACAGATAAATGCAATTGTAAACCCGTATGGTTTTGTCTCAGTGAAGCAAACAATCATGGAGCCCAGGTTTCCCAAAGGCAGCTCATCCCATACTGTACCTCGCCCGTGTGACTGATCACCAAGAGTCAACCAGTGGAGATGCGGCTCCGTCCTCCTCCATTACTCCTTCAATAAGCCTCTTCCTTCCTTCCCTTCCTCAGCCCTCGTGACATTTACTCCCCTGCAGGGGCCTACACGGCTGAGGAATTGAGTTCATGCAGATCAAACAATCCCTCTGTAGTGCAGTTAGTGGGCAAATGACGCATGTGGAAATAGAGGGCATCTCTGTTTAAATATTACACACACAGCAGTTATTCCCTATATTTTTATTGGCTTTCTTGCACCACTTTATACACAAGATGGAAGTGTTGTTTTTTTTCATGTCACATTCATTTTATTTGGTTTTACCCACAGTGTCACTGATCCTTGCTTTAAGCCACTACATTCTATGAATACTAATAGAATGCTATTAGCTGCACGAGAGATATGCCTAATATTGAAATTCCTAAATATTAAAATATAATTTCTTCCATCCTTCTCTTCTCTACATCTGCAGAATCGTGTGTTTGCTGAACGATGCCACAGGCTACAGAGTTCAAGAGGCCCAGTTGGAGGTGTGTGTGAGGGACTGTGCAAATGACTACAGAGCTCTGTCGCCCAGACCCTTCACCTTTGTGGTAAGAGATGAAGGAGTATTTTTCTTTAAGCTGTTGTCCTGCAACAGCCTCACAAACGATATCTAACTGCAAATGGTTTGTTTTCCACCCTTCACAGACTCCATACTTTACTCGTATCCAGCCGTCTCAAGGGCCCATTTCAGGTGGAACTCGGGTCACCATCGAGGGGAGTAACCTTAACGCTGGAAGCTATGTCTCAGTCAGCATCGGACCTCAGCCCTGCTACTTTAAAAAGTAAGGAGCTCCTGTGTTTAGTTTGAGGTGAAACTGTCCTTACCCTCTGTCAGAATTTAGGAGCAAAGTATTAAGAAAGAGGTGGAAGAAAAAGGCTTTCAGCTGCACTAAAAATAAAGCTGCCAGGCCTTTAAATGGAGACTTGTGGGTCCGACTCTAGACTGGTAAAACTTCAGACTGGTTATCAGAAAAAGAAGAAAGACATTTTCATTTCATTTAAGTTTGTTGTTAAAACCGTTTAATTAATTAAAATTTAATGGATTAAAATAAGCAGGAAAAATGCTAAGTTAACCACCAGGACACTAAAAGTCGCTACAGAGCTGCTCCAATTCAGGAAAAATTGGAATAAATAAATAAATAAATAATTAAAAGAGTTAGCTCCAATAATAAAAAAACCCTTAATTACCCTGAAATCATTTAGCAAAAGTAGGATTAAAATAAGCAGGAAAAATGCTAATGCCAATTAGCTACAGGTTTTGCTAAGAATATTCTAATTAAAGAAAAACACTAGCCATAAAATTAGCCCAAAAGGCTCAAAAAATAATGTCAAGTTAGGCAGATAAAACAAGAAAAAAAGTTTGTGAAAATTCAGAAAAAGATAAAGATAAGAAAAACATAGATACGACATTGTGGATAATATTCATTAATAATAATTGTTTAATGTACAAAAATGTCATTATCTTGCATGACGCACATGTTAGCATATAATCTGACTCTCAAATTAGCAATATTTTTTTTCGTTCCTATTGGAGGAAGGTTGCAGGTCTTTGTGTTAAGATGTGTTTACATTCATTACACATGTTGTGTGTTACTGTCACTAATCTACTTCATGGAAGTAAAGAACTCATGACAACCTCTTGCATGTCAAATGTATGGATTAACTCTATGGATTAACTAATCTCTTTAGGGAGCGCCCCATGCTAGCTTTGATGTCACAGCTCCAGATGTTAATCTAATCCCTCAGATTCCAGCTCACCTGCGACTGATTCACTCACCTCCACTGGTGGCTTTGCCTCTCACACCCCTAACTGTTTGTGGCGGCTGGATTGGGGCATGTGTTCTTTGCTGGATGCGGTTGCCATGGTTACAAACCAAGGGAGACTTTAGAGGAAGAACACAGATCTCCATCTTTTTCTTTTTCTTTCACCTTTTCTAGTGACATGTTGTATAGAAACACAGTAGAGTGTACCACTGCATCAAAGCACACACACACAAACGCTGGATGACGCTGCCATTGTTCTGTAGTCATGACCCAGAAATGCAGTCAACACTCAACTGCGCTGAATCACACAGCTTCTTGAAATTGCACAGGAGACTGGAATTGATAATGTGTTTCTCCAGTGGGAAATGCAAGTAACCACACACACACACACACACACACACACACATACTCCTATAGCACAAACTCTTCCCATCCCTGTGTTTGTGATTTACAACGCTGATCCTTTTCACAGCACATATCATGGCAGGTATAAACTTATATTAAACCTGACTCCAGTCCCCTGTTCTCTTTTATTCCTCTCCACCGTGCACTAAAACCCAACTCAATTCTTTCAGATGAAAGGAAAAAAACACGGATTCCAGAACATGTAATGGAAGATTACCAGTGATTTTTATTTTCGTCTTTATTCCTGTTCCTCTTCTCTCTGTTGTTGACGAGCTCTTTGGGCTGCTGTACGGGACGGCAGAATTGTTTAATCAAATTAGCAGCATATGAGTTTAACGGAATCAGATTAATTGGCTTCTCAGACTAGACAATGGCAATTAAAGCATAATGAGGAAGTCATTAAATGTATTGACTCTTCAGGTTTGACCTCAGTTAATAAAATGTGTCCCCGCACCAGGAAGTCATCATGGCTTCTTGTTAATATAACTCTATAATATACTCTATAAGTTTTGTTTTTTCTGTACTTTCTATATGGACCTTTGCAGGAATCTAGAATTTGAAGACATTTTTATACCTTTTTCCCCCAGTACTTGTCCATCATTTTCTGTCATTTTCTTCCCTTTCGTTCTTCTGCAGGAGAAATGCCCGTGAGATAGTGTGTGTGACACCCGCCGGGCTTACACCAGGCACTTCATCGGTGCTGGTGGACATTGACGATGCTGAGCTACGGAACCCTGAGGTTAAGTTTAACTACACTGAAGATCCCACTGTTCTGAGGATTGAGCCTGATTGGAGTATCGCCAGGTGAGTCACTTCAAGAGACGTTAATCATAGATGAGGAAAAAAAAAAAGATCAAATTTAAAGATTGAATTTAACTGTTGTTTTTCAAAGGTCAGTGAAAAGTACGACGGAATCCTAAACTGATTCTGTTAGTTTCTGCCCAAGTTTCCTGCCTCTCAGTTTGACACTTTATTAAACCACAGTCAGTCAACCACTTCACTGTACAGTGTTTGTCCAACTCAGTGAATTAAGACCTTGCTTCACTCAGGACTGAATGTAGTGTAAATAATGCAGAACATCACCGGGGGAGGACACACTCCAGCAGTGTTTTTTAATTCAAGGGTGATTTATTGATTTTAATCCTTTCTCTGGCACAAACAGTGTGGAGCTGATTTTTACACACTATTTATTGCAACCCTGGCTGATTAGTGGAACCCGATGGTCCATGCATGATTTAAGTCCCGTCTCCAGCTGGATCTCCTACAACAATGGACCCACTTACTTTGGGAGTATTTTATATATTCAGCTAGATACCAGCAGTCACACAGTCCCAGCTCGGGGGGGGGGGGCAGCCGGCGAACCCCTTACATCTGACTATCCATGTCAATAAAGATTACATTTTTTTAATAATAAAATTCTTTAGATTGTTACTTACTAATGCAAACATGCGCCCTAAAAACCAAACTTTTTGTGCAGAATTGCCATGTTCTGTTCCTAGATAGCCCCTTTTTCCAGCTTGTTTTTAAGAAAAACAGCCTTTTATTTTCTGTCTATGAATATAAAAAAAAGGACAGTCCACATGATGTGAGGGAAAATACCACGCCGTATTCTTCACATTGAGAAAGCTACATCAACTTCCATGCATATATTCTTTGCATAAAGTGTAGAAAAAGTGCGGCTCGTTCTTCATCTTCATGCTCGTCTGCAAACATATGCCTGCCCCGGTGCTTGGCTGATGGTTTTTCATTTAGAGAAGGAGCACTTCAGAACGTCAAAGTGTAAATAAATCAGAGAGCGCTGCTCACCGGGGACAGCGTGAGGAGCTCATTTGGTTTCACTCAGGGTTACAGCAGCGCTGTTGGACCAAAGTGTGGAAAATGTTCTGTCAAACATTGGTCTGTACTGTAACAGTGAGAACTGCTTGAATGCCTTCAAGCAAGAATGAGGCTGAGACTCCTCACTGCCTAATATGCAGCAACTCTTAGAACATTAGCTCTGTTCATTAGGTCAGTCTGGGCGAAAGAAGGGAGCGCTCTAAAATGAACGACAGTAAAACAAGCATAAAAATTATAAGAGTGAGTTCATTTTATTCCCCATATTTTGAGACTAATTATAAGCCTTCTATTATTTTGATGTCTTTCTAAAAATAGACAGAATTCTGTCTTTAAAAAATGTAACCTGATTTGTTGACATGTTTTGTAGAGATCTGACCTTTTTTCCAGGTTCTTATTTAATGTATTATTTAATATTAAGGTTTAGATTTTAGGTTCCTTGTCCTCATCCCTGTCTTCATCCATTGTACAAACATTTAAACAAACAAATTAATTATTTTTGACTTCTCAGTGTCAGGCTCCTAAAGAGTCATTGCACCTTAGCATCTTTCTATGAGCTAATCCTCAATTTACAACATAGGTAGACATGACCAGAATCTGGATTATGGTGTTTCTTCCTGTTTAATAATCTGCATTAAACACTACAGTTCAAAACAGATAAATAGTGATAATACAGGAGCGGGAGCAGAGGCTGTAGAGCGAAGAGTAGAACAACAGTGGTTATATTTCCCCAGCTGCACCTCAGAGTTTATTCTGATTGTCTTGTTGTCTCTTCCCTGAAGCATTTACCTGAGCTAAAGAGACTCACTTAGACAAAGAGAGATTCAACAGGGACAGAGAGACTCTGCACAAATATTCATCAAGCTGTGGAGGGGGGGAGGAGGAGGAGTGAGGAAGAGTACTCATATGCTGTACTATATGAGTACATTTTCACAGACTGCAGTTGATGTAGTTCTCTAATTAAATTCATCTTATTTAAAGGTGGTATGTATTTTATTTTTTATACAGCTTGGAAACACAGTGTAAAACTTAATGTCTTTGTATTGGTTTATGATGTCTATGAAGTTTAACTGACAAACTTCTTCCTTTTTTCAATTTGATCCAAAAATCAGAACAGTTCTAAGGGAACCATGTCAGAAGACCTCATTTGCATTCCACGTGTATTTTCTAAAACAAAATCATTAAAGCAATTTAGCTAAACACACCAGTATATTTAAAATGTTAACTTTTTTATAACATTGATTAGACCATGTTCCACTGAGCAGACTCAATTTGTACAAAATTGTTTTTTCCACTGAATTATGACAGGCTTTATGGAGCTCACGCCCAGTGAAGTCAAATGTCTCACTTTTCAGTCACTAAGACTGAATCTAAATGAAGGGAAACTGCATTGTGGAAGTCACTGAGTTTTATGCATGTGGAAAATAAATGAGTACAAAATGTTAGGTGTATAAAAAAGTGTAAACAAATAATAAGAAGAAATTGAGCTATGTTGCTATTCAAATGGCTGAGAAAACTGAGAAAAAGATTAGATCTTTGTGTCTTTCTTCAATTCCTCTAAGTATATCAGCAATACGTAAGAATATGTTCAACTAAACAGGCACAGGTTTCAGAGTAAGTAATCAGTGAGTTAACTGATACTAGAAGGATATATTTCTGTTTTGTGGTGTACGGTGGGATTATTCCACTGTAAAATATAAGGAGTTTCTGAAACACTGTCTTAATGTGCTGCAACAACACTATTTGTATTTAGGTAGTACCCTGTAACTCAGTCAAGTTGTTTTCAACAAAGACCTAGTAAAAGGAAATTGTAAATTGTGTATGTGATCCAGCAGTCTCTCTGCTAAAGCTAACTGTGCTACAATACTATTGGCTAGCTATAGTACAAGCTCACATCTTTGTTGGAATTGCACATTTTTTAAACTTTACACCTACATTAGTACCTCCAACCAAAGCAAATTACCAATAATTATGTAGCAATTATCACATAATTAGCATTCTTGTTTTGGATTTATTACTTGCATAATCATATTTGGCTAGGCTAACTAAGGGGTAACATCGCCCCCATCTCACATTTCCCTCTACCTCGAGCTTTTTGTTTTATTTCTGGATAAATATTTTGTAATCTTTTGCCTAGTAATTTTTGATGCACAGCTAAACCATAAAATTGTTTTGTTTTTTTATTCATTGGTTGTCGACGTTTTTGTCTCTACAGTGGTGGAACCCTACTGACAGTCAGTGGCACCAACCTCGCCACCATTCGAGAGCCAAAAATCAGGGCCAAGTACGGGCAGGCAGAATCCTTTCATGTGAGTACTGTGTTCCTGCACTGACTCCAACTGTGGGTAGAACCACAAATAGGAAATCCATGTCTTTTTTTTCTGACTACAAACTTATTTTAGATGTCTCCATTCATTGTATGTACTATCAACAGTGTCACAGTTTGAGTACACAGGCACATCACCTGCTTCTCTGGACTGTCTGCGCTCTGTGTTTGGTTCACATCTCCCACAGACATCTAACACGTCCTCAGGCTACGTACGTTTTAGAATGTCAGCAAACACACAAGTGTTTTCTGTCACATTGCTGTTTGTATATTTGTGAGTGAGAAAAGCAGAGAAATTTAAAGGTTAAAAAAAAAACAGTAAACTAGAATCCAAATATAGGCTGACCCCTACTGTACATTAAACATCAAACTAATACTAAGTCTCTTCTGTCAGCAGGGAAAGCCACTTCATCACACATTATTCCAATTATGCTTATGAGTTTAATGGGACATTTAATTATGTAGTAAATAGTAGTATAATATAATAATAGAGTCGAGAGGCTCAGATTTTGTTTTTGAAAAAACAATTGTGGCCCTTTGACTAGTTCTATGAGCTGTTGTTCTATGTGACTTATATAAAAAAAAAGTCGAGTTTAAAAAGTTGAACCCTCATGAGAAGAAATAATGTATGTATAATGTGTTAGTTTATCTTCAAATGTATGTTTATTCTGTCTTCATAACTAACTCATTTTTATATTGCACTATATTATTATAGCTATATTATATTTAATATTGTTACTAGTTTCAGACCTGAAATTTTTACTTTCAATTATCCTACGTCTACTATTAATATATTCTGGCTTTTGTTACATGCTGTTGTTTTTTTTGGGGGTTTTTTTTTGCTTCAACCTTTGTATCTTTTGAGGTGTTTTTCTATATAGCTTCCCTCTTTGTTTGCAATAAGAATTTCTCCCACTTTATTCCTACATAAAACTCATCTCTTTTTTTTTGTGCTTGATCCTCAGAATTGTACGGTGTACAACAACTCAATCATGGTTTGCCTCGCACCATCAGTGGCCGACTCTGAGCTTGGGTTTTCAGAAACCGGCACCGGCCCTGATGAGATCGGATTCTTCATGGACAATGTCAACGCTTTGGTTGTAGTAAATGAAACGTTCAGCTACTATCCCGATCCTGTGTTTGAGCCACTGAGTCCCTCTGGAATTCTGGAGCTAAAACCCACATCGCCACTGATCTTGAAGGTGAGTGAGTCTAACTAGCTTTTTACAGCCAGTAGACTTATCATATGCTAGTATACAGTTTACTTGGCTGTACTATAGAGACATAGGACAGGTTTATGTTCCATAGCAATTGTATTTATATTTTCTGCATTTAAAAGGGAGAATTCCGTCCAAACTGGACCAATTATTTACATCATCATTTTAATAATGTTAACTCTACCTACAGTAATGCACTCAATCTGTTTTTCTTCAGTGCATGGAATAGCTTTTCCGGGTGCAATAAGAAAATGCTCTTGATGAAGTGCATTTTCATCCATTCTAAGGTTTCCTGTCCTTCAGGGACCAACAGTTTCTTCTTCAGACTCCTGCTGTCCTTCTTTGTACCCTCTGGTCTTCTTAAATCACAGTCCTTTGTAATGGTATAATTAGTTTTTACTGCTGGAAGGCCAGTGTAAAGCATGCAGGCTCAGAAGTTATCTTGGTTATAATGGTTTTAATTTCCATCAGCTCGACACGAGTAAATAAAATTAATTGACAATTTCTGAGCAGAGGATACGTCATTGTATCACAGTGTGCGCCGCAGTGATGTTTGACCACAGTCAAAAAGTAGATTTACTATTATACAGACATGTTGAGATTCTTGGTCCATATGTCCTTCCTCCCCAGCAGGTGGTGCTATTTATTTACCTCAAAACACATATAAACATATAAATAGAGGCCTATTGGCTGCTAGAAAAAAAGTGAAAATACAAGCAGAGGGCAGCATCACTGTTGATGAATACACCACTGTATTTGGTTCATTCAAAACACCTGAGGAGAGTTTTAATGGTCCTAAGTGTCTTCTATGGGAAATGACTGCATAATATACCTTGAAATAGTTCAAGACAATGGTCCCAGTTCCTCTGTGGCCCCTGTTGTTTGTGGTATTACAAACAGTTACGCTCTTTGACTCCAAGATGAAATTGAGTGCTGCCAGTGTCATTTATTTCGTAAATGATAATTTATTGACAAAAAGAGCGCCCTCACTAATTGCCAAATCTCCTGCTCGGCTTGTTGGTAGAACAGCCTGCTGTAACGAAAGCAGTGTTGAGATGGACAAATATGCAATTTGGCGAGATGGAATGTGTGTGTGTGTGTGTGGGGGGGGGGGGGGGTATCTGAGGAGCATGTACTGGGTTTGCCATGCAATTAATTTCTCATCTGAAGTGTCGGAGTGTTTTTAGTGATGTGTGTTATTGGGAACAAAAATGATTTGGTCTTGGTGTTTGTCAAGTGTTTCTCTGTTTCTGACTGTGTGTCTCTGAGAGCATTTCCTGGCTCAACACTTCTTGCCTGTTGTTTGGATGTGTGGCAACAGCACTGTGTGGTTGAAAGTCAAGTGTGTGTGTAGGTTGAACTCTGCATGTGTGTTTTTGTATCTGTGTGTGTGTGATAGAGAGATGGAATGGGATGCATGTTTACCGGGTTGCAGAGCGGGGCTGGTGGCAGCCTGCAGAGACGATGGGATTGGAAAACGAAGTCTGTCTCTGCATCCCACTGCTAAGCCAGCGGGACGCGCGACAGCTATCTCTTCTCCTTGTCTCTTGCTCTCTCCTTCAAGCTCGCTCACTTACTGGCTGTACTTCTCACATCTTTCTCTGCAGGCCTTTTTCTTAATCTTTTTCCTCCGCCCTCTTCCTGCCTCGTGCCCGCTCTCCCGACATTTTCGTGCTACATTTCATGTCCATCTCGTTTGTTTTTGAATTAATTTTGCTCCTGTTGCCTTTTGTTTTCTTCCTATTTGTTGGTTCCATCATTCAACAGAACCAACCCCCCTTCCTCTCCTCTGCCAGAAATTGTGTAAAGATTGGATATTGGAATGGAAAAGTCAGGACAGAAAGAGACAGAAAAACTACATCTGTGTGTGGAATACACTTAGAAAGACAAAGAAAGAAAAATAAAATAGGATTGTATCTTCTTGGTTTATGTAGTGTCTAAAAAAAAACAAGCTTTTTGTGTTTTGTTTTGTTTTTAGTTTTTTTGCTCAGTATAGTAGATCTAGAGAAAATGCACATAAAAATAGTCATTTATTAAAGTTACCACTGCATGACAAAGGAAGATTTTCTCATGTTTATTTTCCCTTGAATTAAGAATAAATGTTTACTGTGTGTTGGCCTGCAGTATGTGAAGAAGCAACCTGGAGAAGGTTTTATATGTGAGCCTCTTCAAGTAATATTTGTTTGAAAACAACATAGCTCAGCAACATACATAGATAAGCAGCACACGTAAGGAAATGACTTAAAAACCCATAGGAATTAAATAAAAAAGAACATTTTGTAACAAGTAATTTAAATTACACAGCGTTGTAAATCTTTCCCTCATGGCTTTTTAAAGTACTATTGATACTGGCTCATTTGAATAAAATAAATGTAAAGATAATTGAGTAATATCATTGGAGAAAGACAATGCATTATGTTATTGAATAACTTCTATGCAAACTGTTTCCACCTACTGCAAGTCATTTAAAGAAAACTCATTTGTATCATGTTCATTTTCTTGGTTCTACAAAGAAGTCTTTTGGGTGTATGCTTTCCTTTTTTAGGTTTTTAGACATTTTTTAGTCATTTTTACATTTTATAAATGTTAAAAGATTACTCTCATCAGTTTATTGGTTGAGTACAAAAAATATCTAACGTTTCTTATGTCTTAGCATCCGTATTGTTTGCCATTGATCTTTGTAGAGGAATGCTAACAGGTGATAGTTTGTTAGCTTTGGCTAACAACAGAGACCGGCTAACTCTTAAAGGTACAGTGGACCATTAAGCAAATGTAGCCTAACTGCTACATTAACTCACTTACATACTGAACATAAGTGGACTCTGATAGCCATAAAAGTGTGTCTCACACAACTTTAGATTAAGACTGTGGGGCACTTTGAAAATCTTAGAAAGCTTTAGATTTTTGTCTATTTTAAGATGCTTAAGACTAATTTTTTAGCTACTTTTAGTAATTTTATGATTCTTTCAACTGTTCTCAATTAACAGCAATCTGCTATTTAAAAAAGTCAAAGGAATTGATTGAATTAATTCTGCATAGTTACAGGCAGTATTATACCAGAGAGTACTCTTTCACTGTTATCTGTTTGTTCTATTTGTAGTTTTAAATGTTGACCATATTAGAGCCAAAAAACTGTTGGCTTTTTTTTAAGGGCCTTTTGAAGGAAGAATTGAAGGACCATTATACGTTCCTGTCATGGACATTGTGCTCCATTTTAAAGGCATTTTGCCTAAAGCTCTATCTGACTTCTCAGCCTGATCTTTACCAACTTTTGTATGAAAATAAACCATGTAGAAAGGAGATTTATGTCGCCGTGTCCTCACTTTTTGTCCCTGCTTTGGGTTTAGGGTCGCAACTTGATCCCAGCAGCTCCAGGTAACAGTCGACTAAACTACACGGTGCTGATTGGAGAAACTCCCTGCGTCCTCACCTTGTCTGAAAGCCAGCTGCTGTGTGAATGGCCCAACCTCACTGGACAACACAAAGTCACGGTTAGCTCCACACACTCTCTGTCCTCTGTCTTCTCTGTCTGTCCCTCAGAAACACAGTGACCTGTCGTGACTTTGACTTTGATGTTATTTAAATATCACACTCTGTGTCCTATTTTGCTCCTGCATTCTTTTAAAGTAATTACCGACTCGGTCAGTTTTCAGTTTCATGATCACACTAAGAAACAAGTTATTATAGAAGTCGCTGTCCCTGTAAGTCGTTTTTGTGATTATGTAAACATTTCAACCTGACAATTTTAGTCCATTATAACACCCTCACCTTGTTGCCAGGTTCTTTGAGTGACTCCCTCCTAAACAATTTTCCGCTGACAGGTGAAGGATACGCTCCACTGCACTTTTACACCAATGCTGCTGTTAAATATATAACACGCTATTATCCTGTTGCCCTGCATTGGCCTTCAATATGTCTTTGAGAGACATATTGAGGAGGTATGCTCTTATAATGTAGCTATCCCTTCCTGCCCTGCAGAGGGTGCTCTGCAGGCAGTTTTGTTCCACATAAATCTGGGTTTCTCACTGGAGGAGCTGTACACCTCCAACAATGTTGCAGAAATGTATTTACACCAATGTTTCATACATAAAACTATACATTTTACAACAATAACAATAGTATTGAAGATAAATTATGAAACATATATATATATATATAAACAGTGTTATGTAACATATAAAATAATTTTGGATTACATTTGTAGCTTTCATCAAATGTGTTGCAGTACTTTCACCTGCTGCATTTTTTTAAAACACAGATAAAAACAGAAACATACAGACAGAGGGCAGGGTTACTGTAGATTAACACACCAACATACATCACTAGTGCACCGTTTAAATGACCCAAAATACCTATTTTGTTATTTTACCTGATTTTTTTTCAACGATAAACCAACATTTTTTCCATTAAAGCAGCCCTTTGTCTGAGATGCCTGAAGCTTCAGCTACATAATATGACCAAAGTCAGGCTTTTTCAAACATCTACAGATGTAAAACCATACAGCGCCGTCTCCACGGCAGCAGCTGTGCAGAAGTCAGCACCTTCTGTGCCACAGGTGCAGCTGCTTCTCTTTTATTATTATGATTTGAGAGGATTTCCATTCCCCCAGTGCCATCTCCGTTTTTCTCATATTTTTATTAGTTCTCCTTTTACTTTAAGGGCTGAAGACATTTAATAGTATACAGAATCTAATGTAGGCTACCTAAACCTCGGTATCATCCACGGAGCCAGCTCTCCTCCCACACTTTACTTTAATCAAAGCCACCCTTGTCTCCACTGCTCCTTACTCATCTCGTCATGTGCCCCCACTTAGCCCAGCATTACACCCCCAAAATTGGGTACATTCAGCGCGGCCTGAGACCGCTTTTAAGCATTTTTGCGACAAAGAAAGGGATAATTTTCACACTGCATGCTTTTTAAAACCGCGGCTACACTTCACTTGTAATCAGAGGTTTTTAAGGGTCTTTTTGGGCCTCAAGCAAGAGGGTTCTAGAGAGAGGACCATTAACCTTGAAAGACAGATTCATTTAATAGTTGTTAGTCTTTAGTGGAGACAACATTTTCTGGTAACTGTGTGCATTTTACAATGTTTCATTTAAAGTAATGTTTGCAAGTTGACAATTGGAAAGTTGTATCTTCATGTTATGTACCTCACAATATTGTTATACCTTATTTAATGGCTATCGCAGGATCTATGACATGAACAACACATTCAACCCCAAGACCAACTGATAAATTAGTCTGGGACAAAACAGTGTCCTCCACAGACTTCACAAAGTTATGTTGGAATTTCCCACTTTAGACTAAAGCTGTACTTTGTTAATGTAAATGCGGGACAACATCGCTTAGTAGAAAACCCTTGGTTTGGTATTATAATACAGAATCTTTAAAAAAACATATGTCCTACATTCAGAGTCTTTTCAACCCATACAGGCTGCCACAGGAGGCGCCATTGAGCATGTGGTTACTCTGGGGATCAAACCCAGGATCTTCACAAGTAAGGCCTGGATGACTAAGAATCTACATAGACACATTTCAAACATCCATTGTAGGGACCCCAGGCCAGACTTTGGATATAACTTGCATTAATAAACAGACATAACTTCACCTACTTTACAAATTTGATTTACAAGATGCAAACCTTCCATCTCCATTAAAGTATATATCATCATGCAGTCATTATACTAAGAGTTGGAATTAAAGAAGAATCCCTCTTGCTCCAGTTTGTGTCAATGACAAGGCACCGGCTTACCGTCACCGGTGGAGTTCTGGCCTCCAGCTATGCAGAAAACAAAGATAAAAGGTGGAATTAAAAATAGAATTGTTTCTCCAGGATGCCGATGACTGAGCTCACTCTAAGCTTTAATCCTGGAACCTCGTTCTCTGTATAAACCCTTCTGATGTGCAAATTGTGTCCAACTCTGAAAACCATCCACCTGTCACCGCAACTACAATGCACCAGGAAACAGTTCTGTCACAGAACTAAAAGCTTCCGAGTTCATCTTTCAGCACCCGTTCAGCCCAGCTTGTCCGATGTGTGCAAATGTCAAAGCAGTGCAATCCCTGATTCTCTGTGATATAAACAGGCTTTCAAAATTCCTACACAGCTTCAGGAGCATCTGTTTGACAGAAGGTCAGACCTCAGCTTTCACCGTGAATATGTTTAGATATTTGTCTGAATTTCCCACCAACACACCCACACTCATCACCCGTTGCCTCCCTCACTTCAAAACTTATCGCCAGCGTCCCCTCACAGTCATTTCGCTATATCTTTATGACATTTCGCTGCCGCGAGCTACAGCCAATATACCTAGAAAACCACTGACAGCACGTCCATGTAATTCAGTATGATAGCTCTCAGCGGATATAGCCGGCTCCAAGGTGGAACTCTTTTGATTCTTTTTTTTCCTCTCAACTCCCTCCTTTTCTCTTTTTTTTTTTTTTTTGCAGAATAAAATGGCATTTTGAATATCGAAGTGATGTGATGTGTTAGCGGGGGTGGTGGAGTTGGTCCTTCATCTGACAAACGCCGTGGAAAAAATAGAGCTGTCTGTTCTTATCTCTACTCCTTTGTGTGTGCGTGTGGGTGTGTGTGACAGTGTGTAGATATGTGAATGTGTGTACCAGTATATGTTACCTGGTTAGGACATTTTCTGCTGTTTTTTGGGAACAGATACATTAGTGGAGACAAATGAAATCTCATTTTTGGTCAGAGTTGGGATGAAAACTTGAATTGTTTAGTCACAGCAGGGGTGTACAACCTGTGGCTCCTGAGACGCATGAGGCACTGCATATTTATTTTTGAGTAATGTGTCTAATTGACCAGTAACGTCCAAGGAAAATACATTTTAGGGTAAAGCCACCAAAGTTAACTTCAAGTCACAGTCAGTGGTAATAGATAAAAAGGTGTTACTAAATACTGAACGCTATTGCGTTTACATGATTATTGTGTGTGTGTGTGTAAACAAATCTGTGTCCAGTAGTAAGCTAAGGTGACTGACTGCTGAGGATCCTCTGATTTGATTGGGTAACAGCTGTCGTAGGCCTCCAAAATGTTAGGACAAAATTTTGACAAACATACTTTTACTTTTAAATGACAAATTTGAGAACCTAAACTGCATTATAGCCTCAATACCTTCTATCTAAAACTATCGACGTATTTTACCGAAGGACATGCAATTAATCAGCCATCATTCTGTTAACACCACCCTACCTTGATTCTTGTTGTCTTTTAGATCTGCATCATCAGGGTTGGTTACTTTCAGACAGACAGGATAAGATGATCATCAGTAGACAGAGGGCAGCATCACTCCAGAGTAAAAACAACTTTTCATGAATGATCAAAATGTCTTTCATGGTTAAATTGTAGGATCCAAACAGTCCCACCTTTAAAGTTCGGATATTTCCTACTTATGATGTGTGTATGTGGGTCAGCTCAGGCACATGTACTCATTTTTTGTAGGTACAGCTGTGGCACAATAATATCATTCCTTATGTTGAGTGACCTATATACATTAGAGCCCACTGTGTGACCTATAATACACACTAAAATGAGCTCTCAAACCCAGTAGACTCATGTGTGTTTGTGTGTGTTTACATGTTCAGTTTCTGTCATCGTGTCTTTGCGTGTCCCCATTAGGTCGTCAGCTGTGCCGTGGCAGATGTGTGACTACATTTGAGTTTTCAAAAGACACTTTGTTGTTTTGGCCTTCAGCCTTTTTAGGTTCTGTTCTCCGTCCTTCAGTCGGGCAGGAGGATAAAAATAGAAAGGATGCCCTGAAAATGTGTCACCAACCTTTTAGTTATGCAAGTCGCCAGAAGACGTGTTCCATCTGATTCAAGCGTGAACCCAGATTACATAACACAACCTCTTTGTGTGATGGCTCAGATCTACCCATCATGGATTTGAGTATAGCAACCAAGACTAGATTTATTGTTAAAGTCTAACTGTCTGCTTAACATCCCTACATGTCTACCAAACCCTACATCCTCTCTAATTATATATGAACAAAACAAAGTGTGTTCACAGCTCCATGGATGCCATCAAACTCCCTGAGCCTCTTCCACATAAGTAAAATTGGATTCTACTCCATAATTAGTTCATATTCATGCTGTAATTGAGCCTGTTTAACTGGTTTCACTGTTCCAAATTTAATTTGTTGCTTGTGATACGTTGGTATTGATATAACAACTTCAGTTATTTTTCTCCAGGCTTAATATTGTTAACATAAAAGTGCACTTAGAAAAACTTCAGAGTACATAATCGCACCTCATCTGAATCATTTATCAACCCCCCCAGAGGAAGGCTTGATTTGATGGATGCCACGGCTGCATGAGTGTGTGTGCGTGTGTGTGTGTTTTCTTGTCTCAGACAGACATATCGCACTTATTTAAATGTAGATAGAAAAGAAAAAAATAAACACTATAAGGACTTGACTTCTTATAATTAGCAGGACTCCCATGGGGAGTGATTTAAATGGTGGTGATTACATTGTTTGATTACTTATACTTTGTCTGAGTGTGTGTGTGTGTGTGTGTGTCTGTGTGTGCACTATTTTAACAGTGTTTTTTTTTTTTCTCTGTTTAAACTTGTACCAACAAGAAAAAGATTCTTATACATTTCAAAGAGATTGAATTTCTACAGTCTTTTTTTATCAAATACCCCAGTTTGGTTCCCCTAGAGACAAGATTAAAAAATCCCTAAAAGAAAACCAACAACCTGTCCGCTGTTTGCTGTTTATTGTGAGCAGCATAAAACCAATAAACATTAGCCGGGGTTGGAGATTAAATAAATAAATAAATGGCAGACATTTGTCTGGTCTATAGCTCTTTGGAAGATGGTTCTATAAAATTCTGTGCTACTTTTAGAAAAATATGTTGTGTTTTATTTAGAGTAATTTGTGAAGATTATTTTGTTTAAAAGGTTAGCCTAAGCTCAAGGACACATTTGCCAAAAGGAAGGTGAGGACAACACCCTCATTCTTCCACCATTTGGATCAGTCGAAAATAAAAACAGGTGTGAAACACATACATCTACCTGTTGTTTCTGTCCTTTCTGTCCCAACAATATACAGAAGAAAACATTTTGTGTTATATTGTAGAACCTTTGATTAATCAGGGATCATCATGACTAGTCATAATTGGTTAAGATGATAATGAAAATAATCATGATTAACCCCACAACTGTGCAAAAAAACAGACAAAAATGTATTTGTTTGATGACCCCAAGTTCAGAATCATTGTTGAACTCTGGGTAGTCACACCAGGACACTGTGTTTCTTCATAATTTAAGAAAACCTGTCCATTTCTGTGTGTGTTCAGATTCGAGCAGGAGGCTTCGTCTACTCCCCCGGGACTCTGCACATCTACTCCGACAGCCTCCTCACACTTCCTGCCATCATTGGTATCGGGGGAGGTGGTGGTCTCCTTCTGTTGGTCATCATCGCTGTGCTCATCGCTTACAAGAGGAAGTCCAGAGACGCAGACCGCACACTGAAACGCCTTCAGCTGCAAATGGACAACCTGGAGTCCAGAGTGGCTCTGGAGTGTAAAGAAGGTAAGCATAAAAAAAACAAAAACACAAATCACAGGTATGGAGGTATGGAGAATAATTAATTAATTATTTTCAGTGTATTTTTATCAAAATGAAATCTTCTAAATCAGTCTACACTTAAGCCAACTTATTCCTTAAAGCTTTATATGTACAAGGCACATTTAGCTCACTGTTATGTGCTAGGCTAAATTAGCTTTTTCTGGTTTAGCTTTTGTTTATCTCTTTTGTTATTAGGGTTAACAGTTTTCATCAGAGGCAAAAGCCTGAAATATAGTCAAACTTTTTAATAATTCACTGATAGTTTATGAACCTTTTAATGAGAATCCTGTTGTTAGCCTAAAAATGTCAAAAACTTACCATAAAGTAGAGCAAATGTATCTCAAGGTTATGCAGAAAAAAGTCAATCAAAATATAAGATTTACTAATTGGTTATTGCACACATAGCAGGAAGTTAGCAAGCAAGTGGCTAAGTAAAAAAACACACTGTTCACAAAAGCAGTTTTTGAAGTTTCTTCACTTCAAAGTAAGTAAAGGATGTACCCCGCCCCGCCCATTGACTACTAGAATTGGCTCCATTCATGATATTTTAAAATAGCCTTGATCATATTGGTTTGTAGGTTTGGTCAGTTAACAGGCTGCCTGTTTGATACCTGATGTCGAATGCTAAAGGTCCAGATTTCCAGCGGTAGAATTCAATGCTTCTCAAAAGTGTTTTTTGGCATCATCTGTCCTCCCCGAATCCTTTCTCAGATTTTACATCAAAACGCCAATAAAAACGACTTAACAGTATTAATTTATGCTGAGCACTACAGCTTTCAGTCACTTTGTGTATTTTCTCAAGACATACATAGCAAAAATTCACGAGCCAGACAGCGTAGGAGTGTAAGGAACAAAAAGCATTCAGTTTTCCACAGAGTGGAGCACAGACTTAGTTTCCTCCTCCACCCTTTATTCAACCAACACCAGCCCCCCGCCCGTCTGCTGCACTCCCAGCTGGCCCAGAGAGATGAGACAGTGAGTGTGGGCGGAGGAACAGATGAAGTGGGCGGTCTGCGGTCTGTGCGTTTAGATATGAGTGTGTAAGAGAGTACGAAAGACACTTTGGATGCTGCACTCAGTGAGGGAGATCCAGGGGTCGTCGGTGTCATCCGAATCTGTGTGGAAGGCAATCATCTGAACTACATCATCAGTCACGCTTTATTAGTTACACATTAGAAATGACAAGTGCTGACTGGCAAGTGACATGTTCTAGTTCAGCAGAGGTAACACAGATGTTTTTCAAATGCTCCGTGACCAAAATAAATGCTAATGGACTTTTAGTTAATTCATGAGGAAAGTGAGCTTTGTTTATATGCCAGAGTCAGATCAGCCATCTAATGAGTTTACCCTTTACTTCTCACCTCTTTGTTAGCACGTGTGTGTGTGTCCGTTTTCATTTGACATATAATTTCTTAAAAGTCAAATGAAATTATTAGAGGTTCTTTGACAAAAGGCCTCACTTAATTAAAAATACATAATCGTGGAAGTAGAATGTGCTCCATTACTTTATCTCTTTACTTATCTATACTTTGCAGATTTATATTTTCTACATTTTGTTCTTCATTCTTATGTATTTCTGTTTACCAAAAGCAATTATTTGCCCAATTTTAGAGGGTGTGATGTTTACCATATATTTTGAAATAGTGCACCCCTGTATTACGCTTAGCAAAAGAAGTACAGTGTTTTCAAATATTTTAAAACTAGCTGGAAAAAGTATGTTACACCACTTGGTTTTCCAGTGACTGCTATGACATTTCATGCTTTTTTTTAACCTCTGTCTTTTAAGGTAGGGTTCAACAGTTCAGATCAGGGCTCTCTAACTCATGAGCTGAGGGCAACTGGGCCCTAAAACTTTTTTTGAAAACATAACTGTTCAATGTGTAGAAGTGTTCAGGTCCACTGTACCAGTTATAATCCTGAAATTCAAAAACAGTAAGTTACCAAGAAGGTAAAGAAAATGTTCAAGAAAAAGGCCACAGCGACTGTGGTCTTAAAACAGTTGTCCCGCTATAAACCGAGTTTTACACCTCCTGATGTACTGAAGTACTTTGTACTCCTCCTGTTCTACTCAGTGCCAGGCTGTTTTAAAGCACAGTTTCAGCAATAAATAGAGGAGAGATTTAAGAACAGAGGCGGAGATGAGAGCTGAAATGAAAGAGGAAAGGCTGGAAGATAAAGGCCAGGAGGAGAAGAGGAAAAACAAAGCCATTGTTTTAAACATGTCTCCAAATTAAACACTTTGTCTTTTTACCCTGCTATCATATCTTCTCCTCTCCTGTCTTTGTCTCCCATTTAACCTCTCTGTTTTTTTATACTTGGCCTTCTGTCATCTCTACTTACTCAGAACATTATTTTTGTACTTTACTTTCAAGTGTTGTTCTGTTCCTTTTTTAATTCCCATTTCTCCCATCTGTCTATCGTCTCTACTTTATTCCTGTTTGGTATTTCTGTCTCTTTGTCTCCTCTACTTCACCCCCCATCCATTTCTCATGTGGACCATGCAGGCCAATAACAGCCGGTGGGAAATTATGCATGAAAACTCATCCGTTAGTCTCTTAATAATTATCTACTCATGCAAGTAATTGTCTTTATTCTCCCCATGAACTTTGTTTTCTGTTTCCTTCCGTCGGCATTTCAGTTCCTACACTCTTTTACCCTTAAACCATAAACTGTAGTGCTTTAGGGCAGCACAGATTCAAACAGGCAGTCTTGGTGTGAGGCACCAACACAGACCACTACGCCACTCTGCCAACCTTACAGTATCTCTAGATTTATTTCAGATACACTAAGGAAAACACAAAAGTCTAGGCTCATCACTTAGATATGATCTCGTTTTACAAAACTGCTGATTTGGAAACAGTTATCTCTCCTTCCTATTGTGCTTGTATCTGCATTTTATTTCTAATTTATTGATGTCTTAGGCCTGTTTCCTCAGGGAGGAGTTTAATTTTAAGCCTCACGGTGGATCTGCTTGTCCTGACGCTGGGCCTATAATTATACAGGCCTGTGTCCCGTCATGGCATTCTTTTATTTGTGCCCTGAAAACTTGTAATCTGACCCATATATCCTGTTTACGGCTGCACCATTGAACACTTAAAGCATTTCTGTGGCCGTCGCCGTAATGCGGGAGTCTAGTGTAATTACAAAAATTACCCTCCAACCTCTGCTCTTTAATACATAATGAAATAGGAATTGCTGCGTTGCATCAAACCTGTCCGAAGTGAAATTATTCCGCCGCAGGTGGTTTCGCCAGAGAATCCATATGAGTGATTGTAAATATAGTCAGTGTCACATTTATACTGGTTGTTCCTTTGTGTCTCTAATGAGACACAGAGGATAATATTTTATTAGTTGATATAAAAGTAAATATTAGAAATCAGTAGAAAGAGGCAGAAATCTGACATTGACTGAGACACTGAGACATATTGTTTCAGATAGAAAGTCATTGACTTATGGGTGAAATGGCTTTTTCCATTTTGGGTGGGTGGACTGTGATTTATGAACTGATTTTGAGTGATGATGTCACTGAGTTCAATGGATTTCATATTGCCAATCAACAGATAAAAAACATATATACTTAAATGTATGGGGGACAGGATTGTGACAGATCTGTCTTTGTGTTTTGTAGCCTTCGCTGAGCTTCAGACAGACATCCATGAACTGACCCAGGAACTGGACGGAGCTGGAATCCCCTTTCTAGACTATCGTACCTACGCCATGAGGGTCTTGTTCCCTGGAATTGAGGACCACCCAGTTCTCAAGGAGATGGAGGTACGGGTCAGTACACCACCATGAAACTTCGACTAACACAAACTAACCATATCTAATCAACCGTAATTCAACACATATATATTCTATGCTGATACGATGACAAACTAACACTAGCAGTAGAAACTGTAAAAAACATACCTGCAGAAAAACTGTAGCTTGTCTTGTTTTTTTTGTTTTTGTTATATTTCTTTCAGCAAGAGAGATTGATAAAGTAGACAGGGAGTAAGGATAAATGTTTAGTGGTAAAGAAAGAAGATAAAAACAAATTTAAGGTACAGAAAATGACATTCCCAGGCAAAATCCTATGATCTTAATGCACATTAAAAGTTTCTTCAGTCAATCGTGGTTCACATGATTATAAACAACAGCATAACACTGACTACTACCTCTGATCAACAGTCAGGTCCTCTTTAGTTTGTTTTGAAAGACTGTGGTGTCGAGAACATCATTAGTCTGCTCTCCTGGGATGAAACTTTGTCTCATTCTCACGATGTTAGTTTGTGGGGCAAAAAGCTACAGCTTTGGAAGAGAAGAAGAGAGTAAAGCTTTCAAAAGTTGTTGCATTTTACATAACTTCAAATTTATAATTACTCTAAACATACAACTAACTGCCTCAGCTGCAGAGCAGAATGGAGACGTGGCAGCACTTACAAGATAAACTACTTCCTCCCAAAGCCAGAAAGCAGAGCCAAGTTTGTAATCAGCAGCATCATTAAGATGTAGGATGTGCCGCTGCTCCATTGACTTTGATTGGAGCGCTGACTTTTCCGAAGCAGATGATTTAATTTCTCTGACCTTTTAACAGCTTCATTTAATCGTCCTAATCCCCGGAGTGGATTTATATTTGTATGAAAGGAAAATAAAACTCCTCTCTGTTTTCATAGCTGCCATTTCTGTATTCAGTCGTCTATCCTCCGTCATTTGGGATTCAAGGGACAGTAATGATCACTTTGATACAAACGGAACATCTGTGGAGACAAATGAGGACCAGTTATAATTCTCAGATGTAAAGCCTTAGTTTAGTTTACTTTTATTACTTAAGAAACTTTAAAAAAGTAGAATATTCACTTAAAAACTCAGTTTTACCAAAGTTATATTTACTTTCACTTGAGTGAGTCAAAGTTTTGTCTCGTCAAACTTATTCAAACCACTTGTTCTCAAATGATCTGGCCTGGAGACTCAGATTTGACTTTCTTTGAGTTTTTCTGTTGCGACCCAGTTTGTTAGAAACCCAACAAAAATAGTCCACTAATGGCTTATGCTAAAACTGAGAAAGGGTGGCTGCAAATGTATTTAAATTTATTTACATATTTGTCGCATCATTAGTGAATTATGACGTGTTAGAAATAGGAGAGGGGGTGTGTTAAAATTCAGAGTTATGAAGTAGTCAGAACCTCACATTAACAACGAGCCCCTGCAGAGTGGAGAAAGTTTGGCTGCAAAACTGGACAGTATCAATCAGTGAAAATGAGTGGAGTGAATGGTGAGGGTGCTGATATTTGGACGGAGCATGGAGCAAGTTTTTGATGAAGTAATGGCCCACCCCTTCTGCCTAAAAAGTCTTTTTTTAAGCTTAAAAATGTGAACTAATTAATGTAAACAACACAAGCGTCTGACGAATGTTCACTGAAGTAGAAAAGAACACACTCGCTTATTTACTCCACCAATAAACATGGGGAGTGGCCGATTTGAGGAGAGTGGGGTGCAATCTTAGAGAAGTGCTGAGTAACTGGATGAGCTGTAGATGTGGACTAGGTTTGAAGGTGTACTGGACTGGATTTTGAAAGTGATTCGGACTATTATCAGGGAGAAAGTAAAGCTGTTGTAAAAAGTGGTCGATGTATTTGTTGGAATGGATTTTGGTGGTTATTCAAGTGGCTGGGTTCTGAGCCAGTCGGAGCACTAGGAGCTCCTCAGTCGTAGATTTATCCCGGCATCAATTTTGGTCCTTCAGACACCCTTTATTTTCAGAAACACCCTTGCTTCCAACTAAAAATGAAATGAGCTACATTCAAATCTGAAAAGTTGATTAACAAGGACATAATTAGCCGGTGTAGCCTAGTTTTCCGTCTAATTTTATGATAGAACACTTGTTTGAAACACCCTTTTGTCCTACTTCAAAATTATCAGTAAAGACTGACAGCACGAAATCACGATGAAGGACGTAGGACTTTCTGCTCGGCTTCAACGCGGTCATAAATATGTTCCCGTGCGGAGACTTACTTTGAGCAGTTCTTCAGCTCTACCTCAGGTTCCTGTACTTTATCGTACACCACCCAGGACTGGTCTAGATGTAAGTGATCCTCGTGTCTTTATAGGTGTGTGTCATCTTCTTTCCTTCACTCTCTATATTTCTCAGAGGGCTTGCTGGAGCAATCCAGTGATCCAGCACACCAATGCTCTTAGCTTTATTGCTTTATCGCTCTCTCTACTGCGCAAGCACACGCACTGTACCCACACAAACACACACAAACAGACACTCAAGCACATATGCAAGTTGACTGCCAGTAGGATTTTTTTTTTTTTGCATTGTTTTTGACATACTTTAAAAGTTTTGCTACAAATCAAGCTTTCTTTATGGTCTCATTACTTTGTTTAAAAAATAATTTAGTTAAATTTTTAATGGGACATAAAACATGCACAATAGATATTTATACAATTTTCTACAGAATTAAATCTATAATCTGGTTTGTCCAGATATTTGATTAGCTACAGTATGACACAGCACTCATTCATTACAAATAAGAAGTATTTATGCCTGTGTAAACATAGTTCAACCTTGGTCTGTGACTAGAGTCTGTTTGCTTCTACTTCTAGACAGAATGTTCGCTGACCTTGTCCTGAAGGTCCGTGTTTGTCCAGACGTCCCATAGACTGTACATATGATATGATAAGAGAGTTTTCAGTTGCAGGAAATTGTTGCCCAGAGAAACTCGTGAAATGAAGTTGGCTTCAGAAGTTTTTTGTCTTTAAATATATATCTTGTTCAAATGTAGCTACTTCCTATAGGTGAAAAATATTTTGACAAATCCTCAAATCCAAGTCTTAAGTATGAAATCCGTTCCCACCACCATTCCTGGTCAATTTTGTCAGTATAAAATGCACTTAAAGAGAAAGTCAAAGGGAATAAATGATGATTTTTTTTTAAGGGTCAGTGTGATTACAGGCCACGTTTGATTGACAGCTGATTTATTTAAGCCGGGCAATCTGAATCATAGAAATATAATATGACCACATGTCGCTGACACACACACTCAAACACACTTCATATTCCCATAAAGCACTCCAGTGACACCAGTGATACCTGACAGTGACTCAGAGGAGGAAAAATACGAGGGACCGAGAAAGCTGTTATAATGAAGGGACGACAGTGGGAGGACATAGAAAGAAGGCATCGGCGACTGTGTGTGTGTCTCTCTGTGTGCACGTGTGACCATAGACAGAAGGCATCGGCGACTGTGCGTGTGTCTCTCTGTGTGCACGTGTGACCGAGAGCCGCAATTACAAAGAGGAGGAGGAATTAAAATGGACGAAAGAGCAGTGATGTGAAACAGACAACAATACATGTGAGGAGGAAGAGAAGTGAAGCGGTGAGAAAGACGAAGCACGTCAGAGACATCCAGACATCTTCAGAGGGTTAAGTGTGTTGTTGATGCGCAGTGACAGGTGCCAGCCACTGGAACAAGCTGCTTGTAGCTCTGACGCCAACCCTGACATACACTGTCCTACTGTGACCTCCTCTTTTTCTTACTGCTCACTATCTCTCTCTTCGTTGTCTGTGTGACAGAAAAATCCCTCTAGTGTCTGGCTGGTTTAGGCCCAGCATGATTGAACCAATAAATACCCGCAGCTACTGGTGACAGCAAGGTTATTAAATAATTCAGTTATGGGCTTTCATTTATGTGACGTAGAAGATGATTCAGCAAAGTAGTGGAAAAGTCAGAAGACCTGAGCCATCAAAAAAGGAGAACTTGCATAAACCATTGCATCGCAAAAGTCCAGGTCCTATATCTGGAGAAGTCTGAGAACACAGACTGATAAAATGCACGGTCATTGTCACTGTAGTATATATGACACTTGGGCTGCCAACTCTGAGGTCAATAAGATGAGATGACACAGAGTAGAAAATGTTCTGGTCAACATTGGTTTCTGTTTTAAAAATAGTTGAAAAACTTCCTGAAAATGAAAAACAAATCCAATCTGTAATTTTTAAATCAAATGTTCTCTATGTTCTTTAAAGGAGAAACCTGACTGTATTTGTTTCAGAAGTTAAAGATTAGGTCATATTTTTCTCACTGTGTGTAAGTGCTTGACTTGCAGTCCATATCATGAGGAGACAGATCAGAGGAAAGAGTTTACAATTTACAATATTGTTGCTTAAAATTCATTCAAAATTGGTTCATGTTTTATCAAATAGAAAAATGCTGGTCTTAAAAAAAAATACTGAACCTACTTTGTTTGTTCTCCTGATGAATCGTTTCCAAATTTATTATCAAATACGATACAAAGGTCTTTGTGACCTTTCAACAAGTGCACCAGCCAAGAATAACTGTGAATATATTTGATCCCAGTTCGGCTAAATACACAACGTTAGTAAAGATTGTTACAAACTACTCTGTATGAATTCCTTACGTGAAATAATTTTTGCAGCTGTAAAGAAATGAGGCCATTTTTCTGTACTTCCTGTCTCTACCAACGTGACTTCTGTGACATTTCCACCTTGACATGATCTGCTCTTAAATGCTGCACTTTGTCCGTGAGCCAAAGCTGCTGTACAGCAGTTGTGAACCTTTGATGCTGAGAGAGTTTCCTCTTCACTCCCTGAAGTTTCATCTGCGACACATCTGCCTCTGTCTTTGTTCAGGTTCCAGCTAATGTGGAGAAGGCGCTGACACTGTTTGGCCAGCTGCTGACCAAAAAGCACT